CGCGCCGCCCCGCCCCGCACTGCACACGCCCCCACAGGACTGAGCGCAGCGGGTGGGGCCGTGCGAGGCTCTCTGTGCCCGGCCCGCTGGCACCATCCCCGCTTTGCACGCGCTCGCGGCGAGTGGAACTCGGTGCCCCAGGGCTGTTCGCCACCTCCCATTGTCCCATGACTGTGCCCACTGCCCGGTGTCGGGTGTTTCGGGAACCCGCTCCCAGAGTCAGAGCTGTTTCCTTGGCTCACCACCGGGTCATCCTCAAATGCTCCCTTTCCGGGATCCTGTGTGCAACCCCAGTCTTGCTCCCCTGCACCCTAAACCTGGGAGCAGTGGTGATCAGCCCGGTGACAAGGTGTGTGCACAGACCTTGTTGACTCCTGACCACTACCTGCCCCTGCTAGCCCTGCTCCCAGCCCTAGCCTCTCCAAATGGATTTGGGGCTTTCATGTTTTTATCCATATTCAATTCCAACTCACAGTACAAAAGTAGGGATTCTAAGTCTATAAATCTTTATGGGATACAGCCTCATCTTTCCACCTCAAAGTTCCTGGTGGGTTTGAACCACTGACTTTGCAGTAAGTCTTCCAACAATTATAGGGCAGCACACTCACAGCTCCTGTTAAATGCCACAAATAATAAGCCCTCTAGCTGACATTGAATGATATTCTCCCTTTGTCTTTAGAGCAAGCTGTGCTCCATGGTTTCAGTGGATGGATTGAGGGAAGAGGAAAGGTATGTTATCAGGTATGTTATCTATCTATCTTTAAAAGAGCCTCTGTAGAAATTGACCTCCACCTTACTGAACACCTTACTCCTAGTCCCACCAGCGACCCTACCCATCAGAATAAGAGCAATACCCCCTTCAGAGTGTGATGGACTCAAAGAGACAGTGATGCAGGCAGGGCCAAGCACCCCTCAGCACTGTGTAACTGTCAGAGAAATGGGAAGTTAAATCCTGGGATCTTTGCTCTCATTTCAAATGGAGACGGCCTATCACTCACACAATCCTCTCC